TTAAAACTCTTTGAATTTTCAATTTTTCTATTATACGATTTCTGTTTCGATTTCTCAGTCTTTCGATTTTCGACTTCTCACTTTTTCGATATTTCAAATTCAAGATTTTTTAGTTTTTCACTTAATGCAATTTTTCAATTTTTAGATATTTTAATTTCCCGTTTATTAACTTTAACATCTCGGCTTTAGATTTTAGGCTTTTTCCATTTTTCGATTTTTAAAATTTTTCTTTCTAGATTTTTCAATATTACGGGTTTTCAATTTCTGATTTCTGGATTAATTGACATTTGAACGTTCCAATTTTACGATTTCTCGCTTTTTCGGTTTTTTGACTTGTCGACTTTTTGATATCTCGATTTTTTGAGGTTTCAATTTTTCAATTTTTAGATTTTTCAACATTTCAATTTTGGGAATTTTTGAATTTTCGGATTTTTCAATTTTTCGACTTTTGGATTTTGTGATTTTCCAATTTTTCCATGTTCGGATTTTTCAATTTTTTTATTTTCTACTTTTTGACATTTTAGTTTTTAGATTTTTCAACTTTCCGATTTTTTTAATTTTCGATTTTTCAGTTTTTCGATTATACGATTTTTAAATGTTACGATTTCTCTATTTTTTCTAAATTACTTAATATTTCAATTTTTCGATTTTCATAACTTTTGAATTTTCGATTTTTCAATTTTTCGGTTTCTAAATTTTCCAATTTCTGGATTAATCGGGATTTCGATAGTTCAGTGTCCCAATTTTTCAATGTTACGATTTTCAATTTTTCGATTTTTCGATTTCTTGATATTTCGATTTTTTCGAAATTTTAATTTTAGATTTTCAATTTTTGTTGGATTTTTCAATTTCTGGGTTTTTATTGATTTTTCAACTTTTCGAGTTTTCGATTTTCCAATTTTTCGATATATCGATTTTCCAAATTTTAGATTTTTTAGTTTTTCAACATTTAGTTTTCGGATTTTTTAATTTCTCAATTTTTTCAATATTTTAAATTTTGTATTTTGCGAAGTCTCGATTATTCGTCTCTTGATTTTTCATTTATTCGCTTTTTCAGTTTCTTGTTTTTCAAAACTCATTGGTTTTAGATTTTACGATTTTTTTATTTTTCGATTTTAAAATTTTTAATTTTTCAACTTTTCAATTTCAATTTTTAAATTTTCCGATTTTTTAATTTTTCGTTTTTTTAATTTTTGTATTTTTCGATTTAATGTTATTTCAATTTTTCAATTTCCCAATTTTTGGATGTTTTGATTTCTCGAAGTTTCAATTTTTCGATTTTTAGATTTTTCAACATTTCTATTTTGGGAATTTTTCAATTTTTGGAAATTTTGATTTTTCGATTTTTTAATTTTTCTTCGATTTTTCAATATTTCGATTCCTCACTTTATCGATATATCAGTTTCAGGATTTTTTAGATTTTTGATTATCAATTTTTCGATACTTTACAGTTATGGAATATTTCAATATTTTAATTCCTCAATTTTTTGGTGTTTCGATTTCTCAATTTTTCACTTTTTCGACATTTTAATTTTCCGTTTTTTAAATTTTAGATTTTTCGATTTTCTAATTTTTCAGTTCCTCGATTTATCAATTTTTCAGTTCTTTTAATTTTTTACTTTTTTGATATTTCGATTTCTCGATTTTTTGACATCTCGGTTTTAGATTTTAGGGCTTTTCCATTTTTCGATTACTGTAATTTTTGGTTTCTAGATTTTTCAGTATTACGCTTTTTTAAATTTTCTGATTTCTGGATTAATTGAAATTTCAACGTTTCAATTTCCCGATGTTTCAATTTTTCAATTTTTACATTTTTCAACATTTTGGGAATTTTTGAATTTCTGGATTTTTCAATTTTTTGAGATTTAATTTTTCAATTTTTTAAATTATAGATTTTTCAAATTTTCCAAGTTTGAATTTATCGATTTCTCGGTTTTCGATTTTTCAATTTTTCGATATTTCGATTTTCCAGATTTTAGATTTTATAATTTCTCAACATTTTAGTTTTCGGATTTTTTAATTTCTCGATTTTTTAGTTTTTCGATTGTTCATTTTTTGTTTTTTGTTTTCTCATTTTTTGTTTTTTTTTAATTCTTCGATTTTTCAATTTTTCGGTTATACGATTTTTGATGTTTCGATTTCCCAGTTTTTCGATTTTTCGACTTCTCCGTTTTGGATTTTATGATTTTTGAATTTTTCGATTTTTTAAATTTGTAATTTCTCCAATTTTCAGTTTCGATTTCAGTTTATAAAACTTTCAATTTTTTAGTTTTTCGATTTTTTAATTTTTGGATTTTTCCAAGTTCCGATTTTTCAATTTTTCAATTTTCCACTTTTTGACATTTTAGTTTTAAAATTTTGCAATGTTTCAATTTTTTTAATTTTTTTTTTAATTTACCATTTTTCAGTTTTTCGATTATACGATTTTTGTATGTTACGATTTCTGTATTTTTTCTAAATTATTTAATATTTCAATTCTTTGATTTCTCCACAACTCGGATTTTCGATTTTCATAACTTTTGATTTTTAGATTTTTCAATTTTTCAGTTTTTAAATTTTTCAATTTCTGGATTAATCGGGATTTCGATGTTTCAATTGTTCGATTGTTCAATGTTCCGATTTTTCAGTGTTATGATTTTTAAATTTTCGTTTTGTCGATTTCTTGATATTTCGATTTTTTCGAAATTTTAATTTTTGATTTTCAATTTTTCGTTGGATTTTTCGATTTTTCAGCTTTTCGGTTTTTCGATTTTTCGATTTTCCAATTTTTTGGTATTTCGATTTTCCAATTTTTCGGTATTTCGATTTTCCAAATTTTAGATCTTCTTATTTCTCAACATTTTGGATTTTTTAATTTCTCAATATTTTAGTTTTTCGATTCTTCAATTCTCCGATCATACGATTTTTGATGTTTCGATTACTCAGTCTTTCGATTTTTCGACTTTTCCGTTTTAGCCTTTACGGTTTTTGTTTTTTTCGATTTTTAAAATTTTTACTTTTTCAAATTTTCAATTTCAATTTCGGTTTTTAAATTTTTCAGTTTTTTAGTTTTTCGATTTCTTAATTTTTGGATTTTTCGATTTAATGTTATATATATTAATTTCTCAATTTAAGATTTTTTGATGTTTCGATTTTTCGACTTTTGGATTTTCCGATTTTCCAATTTTTCAATGTTCGGATTTTTCATTTTTTTAATTTCCACTTTTTGACATTTCAGTTTTTAGATTTTGCAATTTTTCGATTTCTCGACATCTCGGATTTTCGATTGTTAAATTTTCCGATTTCTGGATTAATCGGGATTTCGATGTTTTAATTGTTCGATTGTTCAATTTTCCGATTTTTTAATGTTTCGATTTTTAATTTTTCGATGTTTCAATTTCTTAATATCTCGATTTCTCGAAAATTTAATTTTAGATTTTCAATTTTTCCTTTGATTTTTCGATTTCTCTGTTTTTCAATTTTTCGACTTTTCGGTTCTTGGATTTTTCGTTTTTCCAATTTTTCCATAGTTTGATTTTATAATTTTTCGATTTTTCATTTTTTCAATTTTTTAAATTTTGTATTTTGCGATTTCTAGTTGTTCTGTTTCTTTTATTTATTTTTAGAATTTTTCGATTTTTCAATTATTCGATTTACAATTTTTTGATGTTTCGATTTCGAGATATATAATTTATTGATGTTTGGATTTCTGGATACTCGGTTTTCCAATTTTTCCACATTTTAGTGTAAGATTTTTCAATTTCTCGATTTTTCGTTTTTTCTCGATATATTTGGCGATTTTTCAATTTCTGGTTTTTTAATTTTTCACTTGTCCGATTTTTCATTTTTTTAGTTTTTAAAATTTTTCGACTTTTCAATTTTTTAAATTATACGATTTTTTGATGTTTCGATTTTTCAATTTTCCAATTTTTGGATGTTTCGATTTTTCAATTTTTTAATTTCCCAATTTTTGGGCATTTCAGTCTTTACATTTTTCAATTTTTGGACTCTGGAGTTCTCTTTTTCTAAATTATTTAATATTCCATTTTCTGAATTTCCCAATATGTCGGATATTCGATTTTTTAAATTTTTAATTTTTCGATTTTCCAATTTTTCGGTTTTTAAATGTTCTTATTTCTGCATTAATCGAAATTTCGAAATTCCAATTTTTCGAATGTTCAATTTCCGTTCGAATTTTCGGTTTTTTGAATTTTCAACTTTTTGATTTCTCGGTCTTTTGATGTTGCGATTTCTCGATATTTTTAGATTTTTCAACATTTCAATTTTTAGAAATTTTAATTTTTCGATTTTTCAATTTTTCGATTTCTCGGCTTTTAGATTTTTCGACTTTTCCGCTTGTCAATTTTCCAATTTTTCGATTTTCTAATTTTTCAGCATTTCAGTTTCGGTATTTTCCAGTTTTTCAATCTTTAATTTTTCAATTTTTCAGTTTTTTGATTTTTTTCAAATTATTTCTCATTCTTTGTTTTTTCGGATTATTAGTTTTTAAAATTTTTGGTTTGTCGAATTTTCAATTTTTTAATTTTCGGATTTATCGATCATTTTTTCATTCTCCAGTATTACTTACGGAATTTCATTTTCTGTATTTATAATAATTTAATCAAAAAATTAAAATTTGAAATTTTGACATGACTTTCAAATTATACGCTTTGTGCAACATAACGTAATGTGTATGTTTGGTTGCATATACTTAAGCAGATAATTTGACTTTAATTGAATGTTAATGAAAGTTGAATTTTAGAACACATTAAAAAATGAAATCAAAAAAACTGTACAGTGTAACAGATGATATTCGATAATTTTTGGAATTGTTCTTGTCAATCTTTGAATTTATGTCTTTCTACCAAAATACCTGATTTGGTGGCAAACAGATAATTTATCATGATTTATTAGTCACAAATATCAATATATGAAATAAAATATCGGTATCTTGTACCATCCTGTCACATGACTTGTGACTTAAATTGCAATAAATATAGATATAGACAAAGAAAACCAAATAGTAAGCAAAATCTAGATTTTTAAATCAAATCTTACATACGAAAGAAACAGTAAAACTCAAAACTATCTAATTTTTTTGAAATCGAGCCACACAGGGTCTTTCGGCAACGTTAAAAAATACACAGGATCGTACTTAATCGGCAACTGCGTCCTCTTATTAACAGAAATTTCAAAGTTCCTGATAAGATAAGCAACACCAATCTTAATCTGCAAAGTACCAAACCTCTGACCTGAAAACCAACATTTACACAATTGTACCAAAACTGCCAATTTTCAAACCTAAACAAGACCTGGGACCTTCACCAAAAGGCAAAAACGCATATCTCATACTATCTTTCTTCCCATCGAGAAACCTTTCAGGCTTGAAACACTCCGGTTGCTCAAAATATTTTGGATCACTGTGTAGTCCATACAAAGGGAAAACAATGGGAGTCCCTTTCTCAATAACGAAAGGTTTTTTAATAAGTTCGCCCTCTTTTGGCACGTAGGTGTAGTCTTTGGTGCAAATTTTGCTCAAAGTACCTCCGGCAGGACGTAGTCGCATCCCCTCTAATCAAACAAAAGTAACCACCCTGTAGCAACCACCAGAAACTCACCATTAAAAACAGCATCTAAGTACGGCAAATGTTGCAACTCTTCGTACGGTAAAGTACCCTTGTTTGCTTCAAACGCCTTATTTATTTCTTCTCTGAGCTTGGACTGGGGTTCAGGGTTTGCCGCTAGTTCGTATAACAAGAAGTGCATCACAATCGAGCTGCTTTCGTAGCCGTCTGCAAAAAACCCAGCAGCGTGTGCTGTGGCATCTATTTCAGTAAAGTCTTTGTTTGTCTTCATCAGCTGATGCAAAATGTGGAGAAAATCGTTCCTGACGATGTTGTTATCTTCACGGTACTGCAAAGTCTGTCTAACTATGTTTCTGACCTTGTCTTCAACATCTTTAGGAGTAAATCTTAAAGTTGAAGTTGATGATACCACGAAGACTGTATTTGGAACTTACTTGATGGATACTATCTTTGACAGGACTGGAATGATACTAATCAGGAGTATTTTGATAGTTTGGATTCCTTCCGGACTGAAAAACCTATCAGCGATTTGCTTAAACTCTGGATTTTCTTCTTCGAAGGTTTTCCCGTCCAGACCAAAGGCACAAGTTCCTACGTTGTTCAAAGTAAACCTCATGCATATTTCTTTGGCTTTGAGCCCTTCTCCGGTGGTCGTCCCTGGGTGGTTTTCGACGTATTTGACGAAGTTCTTGCTGACTTCTTCCAGTAAAGGGTAAATCCATTTCATCTAAATATAGAACTAGATTAAGTCGGAGGCAATCGGAAAAACTACCTTTCCGCTGGTGAAAGCGGGGGTTAGGAGCGCCCGTGTGGTTTTCCATTCTTCCCCTCTTAAAAAAAATGGGTTTCGTCCTGACAACGGGTCGATGTTCTTGTCCAGGAAAATTTCGTTGTCGTGGAAATTTTGAAACGATTTAACTTCGATCTCTTTGACCAGTTCGGGATCGCGGATGATTAGGGTCGGGGTACTTGCTTTGAAAATTCCCACTACACGAGCGTCTTGAAACTGTCTAAAATTGGACGAAGATCAAGATGATAAAAGATAAGTGATTCACTTGTTTACTAGATAAAGACTTACTTGTATATGTCTCCATATAGTTCGGCTAGAGATTTTCTGACGAGAAAATTGTCTGCTAAGTTACCAATAAAGAGTGTGGGTTTGGGTCCTGGAACTCCACGCTTTTCCCAATATTTGTAGTGTGAGTTTAGAAAGTACAAGCCGGTGACGATTGCAATTAACACCAAAATTAATATCATTTTGACGGGAGAATAATATTGTGATGTTTACAAGTTACACAATATGAAACTACTGATAAGTCGCGCAATTTATTAAGTCATCAACTAAGCCATGATAAAGGTTATAAATTTGGTGTTCACTTTGGTTATCTAAATAATTCGGTTTAATTGTTCAGTTATGCAACAATTTCATATTCACTAAACGTATAGTCGTCACGGTCAAATAATAATAATTCTCGTTCCCACCACAGCTGTTTTGTTTTGTTTGTATACTTAACCGTATTTTTCCACATTGTTGACGCGACATGTGCTAATCCTTGCCAGATTTTTACTGTGTCTATAGATATCTCATTCATTAATAAAATGCTCTCTATACAAAGGCTTTTCGGAAATAGTTGAAGAATGGTCGAAAATGTCAAAAGTGCCAAAATCAGTCTTATCTTACCAAGTACCACCCACCCTCTATTATCTTATAAGGTATATCATTTGCCAAAGTCAGTCTTATCTTAGCAAGTACTAACGCCACCCATCTACTTTCTTCTCATTCTAACCACGAATTCTATTTCTGTTCAGTATAAGATTATTTATGTATTTTAAAGATCGAATAAAATCAATCAACGAAAAGAAGGCAGGGTGGGTGGGCGGGGCTAATTGTGTTCTTCTGTCGAGTGGAAGTGGTAACTAATAATAGAACCTAGGATGTGAAAAAAGTAAAAAAAAAACTCTAATTGTTACTTTTTTTGTTAGATGTACTATTTGCTATAAAATTTATTTCTAATTTCATGCACCTGACCTGTCCTGACTTTTCTGTTGTCCCAAATAATCAAATTTTAAATATTCTTGTAAATATATAAAAACTACAAAATACATTCTTGAAACAATACTATTTTGTGGAACAAAAATTATTAATAATTTCCTTTTTCATTTAGAAATTTTTATACCGAGCTATTTTGACGAAACTGTAAAAATTGCGGTTTTTCAATTAACAACTTTGGAAAAACAGTCGGAATTTCGGAAGAAACAAAGCGAAAATGACTTCTGGATGTCGAAATCTACAAAAAAATGTCTTCAACTAATTTTCGGAAATGGTTGAAAAATCGATGAAAACATCAAAAGTGCCAAATCCGTCTTATCTTATCAAATACTAGCCCCGCCCACCCACCCTCTATTTTCTTAGAGGGTATGTGACTTGCCAAAATCAGTCCTATCTTAATAAGTACTAGCCCCGCCCACCCACCATCTATTTTCTTAGAGGGTATGAGATTTGCCAAAATCAGTCTTATCTTAGCAAGTACTAACGCCAGCCACCCACTCTCTTCTCATTCTAACCATGAATTCTATTTCTGTTCAGTATAAGATTATTTATGTATTTTAAAGATCGGATAAAATCAATCAACGAAAAGGAGGCAGGGTGGGTGGGCGGGGCTAATTGTGTTCTCTTGTCGAGTGGGAGTGGAAACTTGTAATAGACTCTAGGATATCAAAAAAGTAAAAAAAACCCTAATCGTAACTTTTTTTGTTAGATATACTATTTGCTATAAAATTTATTTCTTATTTCATGCACTTGATCTGTCCTGACTTTTCTATTGTCCCAAATAATCAAATTTTAAATATTCTTGTAAATATATAAAAACTACAAAATACATTCTTGAAACAATACTATTTTGTGGAACAAAAATTATTAATAATTTCCTTTTTCATTTAGAAATTTTTATACCGAGCTATTTTGACGAAACTGTAAAAATTGCGGTTTTTCAATTAACAACTTTGGAAAAACAGTCGGAATTTCGGAAGAAACAAAGCGAAAATGACTTCTGGATGTCGAAATCTACAAAAAAATGTCTTCAACTAATTTTCGGAAATGGTTGAAAAATCGATGAAAACATCAAAAGTGCCAAATCCGTCTTATCTTATCAAATACTAGCCCCGCCCACCCACCCTCTATTTTCTTAGAGGGTATGTGACTTGCCAAAATCAGTCCTATCTTAATAAGTACTAGCCCCGCCCACCCACCCTCTATTTTCTTAGAGGGTATGAGATTTGCCAAAATCAGTCTTATCTTAGCAAGTACTAACGCCAGCCACCCACTCTCTTCTCATTCTAACCATGAATTCTATTTCTGTTCAGTATAAGATTATTTATGTATTTTAAAGATCGGATAAAATCAATCAACGAAAAGGAGGCAGGGTGGGTGGGCGGGGCTAATTGTGTTCTTTTGACGAGTGGGAGTGGAAACTAATAATAGAATCTAGGATGTGAAAAAAGTAAAAAAAAAACCTCTAATTGTTACTTGTTTTGTTAGATACACTATTTGCTATAAAATTTATTTCTTATTTTTTGCACCTGTCCTGTCCTGACTTTTCTATTGTCCCAAATAATCAAATTTTAAACATTCTTGCAAATATATAAAAACTACAAAATACATTCTTGAAACAATACTATTTTGCGGAACAAAAATTAATAATAATTTCCTTTTTTATTTAGAAAATTTTTATACCGAGCTATTTTGACGAAACTGTAAAAATTGCAGTTTTTCAATTAGCAACTTTGGAAAAACAGTCGGAATTTCGGAAGAAACGAAGCGAAAATGACTCCTGGATATCGAAATCTACAAGAAAATGTCTTCAACTAATTTCCGGAAATGGTTGAAAAATCGACGAACACGTCAAAAGTGCCAAAATCCGCCTTATCTTATCAAATACTAGCCCCGCCCTCCCACCCTCTATTTTCTTAGAGGGTATGTGACTTGCCAAAATCAGTCTTATCTTAACAAGTACTAGCCCCGCCCACCCACCCTCTATTTTCTTAGAGGGTATGTGATTTGCCAAAATCAGTCTTATCTTAGCAAGTACTAACGCCACCCACCCACTCTCTTCTCATTCTAACCATGAATTCTATTTCTGTTCAGTATAAGATTATTTATGTATTTTAAAGATCGGATAAAATCAATCAACGAAAAAGAGGCAGGGTGGGTGGGCGGGGCTAATTGTGTTCTTCTGTCGAGTGGGAGTGGAAACTAATAATAGACTATGGGATTCGAAAAAAGTAAAAAAAAACCCTAATCGTAACTTTTTTTGTTAGATATACTATTTGCTATAAAATTTATTTCTTATTGCATGCACCTGACCTGTCCTGACTTTTCTATTATCCCAAATAATCGAATTTTAAACATTCCTGTAAATATATAAAAACTACAAAATACATTCTTGAAACTATACTATTTTGTGGAACAAAAATTAATAATAAATTCCTTTTCTATTTAGAAAATTTTTATACCGAGCTATTTTAACGAAACTGTAAAAATTGTAGTTTTTCAATTAACAACTTTGGAAAAACAGTCGAAATTTCGGAAGAAACAAAGCGAAAATGACTCCTGGATATAGAAATCTATAAGAAAATATCTTCAACTAATTTTCGTAAATGGTTGAAAAATCGACGAAAACGTCAAAAGTGTCAAAATCCGATTTATCTTACCAAATACTAGCCCCGCCCACCCACCCTCTATTTTCTTAGAGGGTATGAGATTTGCCAAAATCAGTCTTATCTTAGCAAGTACTAGCCCCGCCCACCCACCCTCTATTTTTAAAGAGGGTATGTGATTTGCCAAAATCAGTCTAATCTTAGCAAATACTAGCCCCGCCCACCCACCCTCTATTTTCTTGGAAGGTATACCATTTGCCAAAATCAGTCTTATCTTAGCAAGTACTAACGCCAACTACCCACTCACTTCTCATTCTAACCATGAATTCTATTTGTGTTCAGTACAAGATTATTTATGTATTTTAAAGATCGGATAAAATCAATCAACGAAAAGGGGGCAGGGTGGGTGGGCGGGGCTAATTGTGTTCTTCTGTCGAGTGGGAGTAGAAACTAATAATAGTTAGAATCTAGGATGTAAAAAAAGTAAAAAAAGAATGTAATTGTTACTTTTTTTGTTAGATATAATATTTGCTATAAAATTTATTTCTAATTTCATGCACCTGACCTGTCCTGACTTCTATTGTCCTAAATAATAAAATTTTAAACATTCCTGTAAATATATAAAAACTACAAAATACATTCTTGAAACAATACTAGTTGCGACGAAAACGTTAAAAGTGCCAAAATCCGTCTTATCTTATCAAATACTAGCCCCGCTCACCGGCCCTCTATTTTTTTAGAGAGTATGTCATTTGCCAAATTCAGTCTTATCTTATCAAATACTAGCCCCGCCCACCCACCCTCTATTTTCTTGGAAGGTATATCATTTGCCAAAGTCAGTCTTACCTTAGTAAGTACTAACGCCACCCATCCACTTTCATCTCATTCTAACCACGAATTCTATTTCTGTTCAGTATAAGATTATTTATGTAGTTTATTCAGATCGAATAAAATCAATCACTGAAAAGGAGGCAGGGTGGGTGGGCGGGGCTAATTGTGTTCTTCTGTCGAGTGGTAATGGAAACTATTTATAGACTCTAGGGTTTGAAAAAAGTAAAACAAAACCCTAATCGTAACTTTTTTTGTTAGATATACTATTTGCTGTAAAATTTATTTCTTATTTCATGCACCTGTCCTGTCCTGACTTTTCTATTGTCCCAAATAATCAAAGTTTAAACATTCTTGTATATATATAGAAACTACAAAATACATTCTTGAAACAATACTAGTTTGTGGAACAAAAATTAATAATAATTTTCTTTTTCATTTTGAAAATTTTTATACCGAGCTATTTTGACGAAACTGAAAAATTGCGGTTTTTCAATTAGCAATTTTGGAAAAACAATCTGAATTTCGGAAGAAACGAAACGAAAATGACTTCTAGATATCGAAATCTATAAGAAAATGTCATCAACTAATTTTCGGAAATGGTTGAAAAATCGACGAAAACGTCAAAAGTGCCAAAATCAGTCTTATCTTATCAAATACTAGCCCCGCCCACCCACCCTCTATTTTGCCAAAATCAGTTTTATCTTAGCAAGTACTAACGCCACCCACCCACTCTCTCCTCATTCTAACCACGAATTCTATTTCTGTTCAGTATAAGATTATTTATGTAGTTTATTCAGATCGGATAAAATCAATCACTGAAAAGGAGGCAGGGTGGGTGGGCGGGGCTAATTGTGTTCTTCTGTCGAGTGGGAGTCGAAACTAATAATAGAATCTAGAATGTGAAAAAAGTAAAAAAAAACCCTAATCATAACTTTTTTTGTTAGATA